CCCGTCACCACTGCTCTCACGTGGCATGAGGAATAGCTCATCCAACATCCTCACACTCTCTGCCTCCACATTCGGAAGATTCTAGAAGACGAGGCAGAAACGACAAAGGACCTGGTGGCTGAGAAGCAGGCTCTGGGGCCGAGGGCCTGGGCTAAGTCCCGCCTCACCTCCTGCCGTGGCCGCTGGGCTGGGCACGCACCTGCCCTGGTGCCCGTCGGTCAGCACGGAGCCCTGGCACGGGTGCCCCCCACAGCGCTGCCCGAGGACAGGACTGTTCCCGCCCCGGCCATCACACGTCGCTCACCAGGCACCACTTTTATCCAGAGAAACAGAACCGCCTGTCAGAGAACCCAAGCGGGTGTTCGCTTTCCTCCGGGGTCGGTGGCCTGAGAGAGAAACTCGGATTTTAAAGTTGGGGCCTCGCCTGGTTCCTACCCGGCTGCTTCCTGCTGATAAGGGAGCGAAGGACACACGTTCTATTTAACAGTCGAGTCAACGGCGCGGCGGCTCGTTCTCAAGGCCCCTCATGCTCAGGCTCTGCATGGAAAGCGCCGTCTCACCTCTGGCCGCCGCACGCGTGGGAGAAGGGACACCCGTGATGAGAAGGGCGGGAGGCGGCTTTCAGTGAAGGCTGCTCCCCCAGAGCGACTCCGACAGGCCCATCCCCGGGGGGCAGTCACAGGTGACTAAACGGTGCAGCTGGGGTCCCCGTGCTGGTGGCCCCTCAACCTCCAGCCGGTCCCCCGCGGGGGCACAGATTGGGGAGCCCCTCTCCTGCAGGACGGGGACCCCGAGGGCCCACGCTGGCCGGTTCCACCTTCACACACACGACTTGTCCCTGGGCCTTGTCCCTGGGACAGGCAGCTCCGGGGTCTCTGGCTGAGATGAGAAGGTGAGTCCAGCGCTCCATCAGCCCTCGGCACAGCACACCTTCAAGGAGCCACGTGGGCCCAGCCGGCACGGCTCAGGGGTGAGCGTCGGCCCCTGAACCAGGAGGTCACGGTTCGATTCCCGGTCAGGGCACAGGCCCGGGTTGTGGGCTCCATCCCCAGTGGGGGGCGTGCAGGAGGCGCCGATCCGTGATTCTCTCTCATTGTTGATGTTTCTGTCTCCCTCTCCGTTCCTCTCTGAAATCAATAAAAAATATATTAAAAACACAACAACAGGAGCCGCGTGGGCGACTTTGCTCATTTCAACAGCCGTCCTTCCCAACGAGTGTCACACCTCCATGCGAGGACGAGTCAGGCTTGACGCCTTCCAAACCCTCGGCCCGTCTGCGGTTGGGAATACACTAGCAATGCGCTGCGCTCGCTGGATGTCGCCGGCACCGTGCACATCAGACCAGCCCAGGACCCGGACGGGGCCTCGGTATGAACCCAGTAGGAAGCGGTGCCGGTTTGATTCCCGAATCCCAGCACAGCATGGAGATAAGGCCCCGGCAGGAAATGACTGCCTGTGATGTCACCAAGGGCCACGTCAGAGGAAGGGCGGGCCGCCCTTTGTCCTCACAGGCCTTGCCCAGCCTCTGGGTGAGATCATGGTGGGGTGGGGGCGAATTTAATTACAGCTCACCTCAGGGGGGTGGCTGCTGCTCGGTGCCACCCACAGTGATGTTGAAAGAATGAGGAAGGAGGGAGGGAGGGAGGGAGTTAAAATCCTAATATTAGTAAGATAAACTCAGCTGCAGAGGCCAGTGCAGGTCAGCAGGCTTGTACAGTCCAGTGAAGAAACGGTGTCCTTGCGCCAGGTTCCATGGGGGCACGGCCGGGTAATGGAGGCTGCAGGTGGAACGGAGGCTGCTGCTCAGCTGACCTCCACGGAAGATGCTCCCCGATTCTACCAGGTCGGCCCACGGTAACCCCAAGGTCGTTCAAGGTGGACGAGGAGGGCAGGAGTCACGTGGAGGTGCCTCGGTGCAGGTGTGGGGACGAGGCCACCACCGCTGCTGGCCGTGAGGATGGAGGGCCCTGGGAAGCTGGGAAAGGCAAGAGGAAGGACTCTCCCCACCATCTCCCGGGAGGAGTGCAGCCTGGCGCCCCCAGAATTAGCTCAATGAACTCTATTCTGGGCTCTGCCTCCCGGAACTGAAGGCAAGAAATCTGTGGTTTCCAGCCACCGAGTGACACTTTGTGCAATGATGACAGGAAGCAACACAGTGACTGAAGATGCTCCCCCGTCGCCGTGACACTAAGTACCAGCCCTCAGCCCACAGGGAGCCGATGACACACGGGTTTCCACGGTGCTGACGCCAGGCTTTCGCCGAGAACCGGGAGGCACCACGCGGCCTGCTTTCGGCCAGGGCCTGCCCACCAACTGAAAACAGGGGAGAAAACAGCAGCCATTCCAGGTCATCCGCCGTCCGTCCTGCTGGTATTTGCACAGCAAACACAACACCACACCAGCCGGCGGGGCTTCTGAGTCACCCGCTCTGACCTCGTTCCGACCGTCAGTCTATAAATACGCCCAGCGCTGCCTAAACCCTGGGAAACACAGAAAAGTCGCCGACGGGCTGGAGGAGGAGAAACGAGAGAACCGCACTAAGTGCAAGAGATGCCAGGGCCGCCGCCAGCGGGCACGGCCGGACCCGGGCCCAGAGGAGGAGTGGGGTTCGGCCAGCGGAGAGTGGGGGGCCGCCGCCACCGGGCACGGCCGGACCCGGGCCCAGAGGAGGAGTGGGGTTCGGCCAGCGGAGAGTGGGGGGCCGCCGGCAGGCACGGCCGAACCCGGGACCAGAGGAGGAGTGGGGTTCGGCCAGTGGAGGGGAGTGGGGGGCCGCCCCGGAAGGGCTTGCCCAGGTCAGTTGGCACGATGTCCAATACGACGTGCGGGCGGCGGCACACGGAACGGCCAGTGAACTGCCAAGTGCTACACAGCCTTGTAGATGTAGCGTTTCCATGGTCCTGGACCTGTTCCCCATCTTCATAACGAGCCATAAAGCCTTCCTGGCAGGAGGGGGTGAGGGATTTGCCCGGAGTCTCAGGGCCGGGTCAGGGGACGGTCCAGGAGTCCCTCGGGCTCTTTCAAGGCCCAGGCCCTAAAGAACGAAACCCACACCGTGGTTCATTTTAACCGTTTATATTTAACAGGTCACTGTTACAGATAGATGGTAGGTAGACAGATAGATATAGATATGTGTGTATGTATGTATATATAATACATATATATGGTTATTAACTTCAGAGAGGAAGGGAGAGGGAGAGGGAGAGGGAAGCATCAATGATGAGAATCATTGACCGGCTGCCTCCTGCACGCCCCACGCTGGGGATCGAGCCCGCAACCTGGGCGAGTTCCCTGACCAGGAACTGAACCCTGACCTCCTAGTTCATAGGTTGACCCTCAGCTACTGAGCCAAGCCAGCTGGGCAACCCTCCTTTTTAAGTTCTTTTTTTTTTCTTGTCTCCCTGTCAATTTTAAAATTTATCTTTATTTTTCGCCGAAACCAGTTTGGCTCAGTGGATAGAGCGTCGGCCTGCGGACTGAGGGGTCCCAGGTTCGATTCCGGTCAAGGGCATGTACCTGGGTTGCGGGCACATCCCCAGAAGATGTGCAGGAGGCAGCTGATCGATGTTTCTCTCATTGATGTTTCTAACTCTCTATCTCTCTCCCTTCCTCTCTGTAAAAAATCAATAAAATATATTTAAAAAAATAAAATAAAATAAAATGTATCTTTATTTTTAAAATAGAAAATACATTCAACCATTGGCATTCAAAGATATAAGCAGGTATACAATGAAACCCTCCCTCCCTCCCCCCGACCCGGCTCCCGGACCCCAGTGCACTGTTACCTGGCTGCCGACTGTCAGTCTGTGCCACACACACATTCATCTTCTAAGCGTTCACTGGAAGGGCAGCGGTAACACTGCTCTGCCCTTTTTTTCCTGTATTTTTTCTTGGGGAAACTCTCTCGTGCATGTCTAGAGCGTCCTCGCCTGGCTGTTCTTACAGTGACTGGCGCGATGGCGTGCACCCCGCCAGGTAACTGTGCGACTCCATTCGCAGGGAGACGGCCCGCCAGCAGGAGCTCCTCCGCTCACAGTTCTCCCCGGGTTCAGGAACGGGCCGTGGGACAGCCCGCGTGTCAGGGACGGCCCTTCTCCAGGACCTGGCTGGCTCCCCCAGCAAGTGCCCTGCTCAGGGGGGGCCACGGGCTCACGGACGCGCTGGCCTCAGGCAGGTGCCGCAGGTCCTGGCCACGCGCGGGCGCCCAGCCCTCCGGCGGCTCACAGGGGCGTTTGCTCACTGGCAGGGCCAGGCGACAAGTGACCGAACCATAGGCTCCGAACAGGCAGATTCTCGGGAACACCAGCAGGGTCAGCTGGACCAAGCTCGCTAAACCCGAAACTCCTCCAGTTTCTAAAGCATTTCTCTCCCCGAGGGAACCATTGAATCGAACACCGCATTTTCTAGACCATTCCATCGACCCAAAACAGGACCACCAAGCTGTGTCGGCCGCTCGGTCCACACGAATGTTTTGACTCGGGCGGGGCTGCACCGCAGGCCACCGGAGGCACTGAGCTCGGCTCTGCAGTGAGCACGCGGCCGTCACTGGGAAATGTCCGCGTGGCCGTGAGCAGAAACAATCTGAGCTCGTGACCCGTGGCTGTGGCTGTGACCTGTGGCTGTAGCTGTGACCCTGGCTGTGGCTGTAGCTGTGACCTGTGACCCTGGCTGTAGCTGTGACCCTGGCTGTGGCTGTAGCTGTGACCCTGGCTGTAGCTGTGACCCGTGGCTGTAACCTGTGGCTATGACCCTGGCTGTAGCTGTGACCCTGTGGCTGTAGCTGTGACCCATGGCTGTAGCTGTGACCTGTGGCTGTAGCTGTGACCCTGGCTGTGGCTGTAGCTGTGACCTGTGGCTGTAGAACAGCCGGTGGCACTAGAGTTGCCGTGTAGAAACAACTCCATCTACAATTAAATAGAAACCCAGGCTGAAGCGGACACCCTCATGTTATAAATCCGTATCAGAATCATTAACTACAGAAATAAAGACAAACAGTGGCATGAAGGGCATGATAGTTTATTTTAAAAAGCGGTACCACACTGATCTCCATGACCAGCGTACACATTATGATGGCTTTTCTCTTGGGCATTCACATCGCAGTATCTTTTATACTGAAATGTGTCAACAGGACCAAGAACGTTAGAGAAGTGAGGACTCGGGGGGAAATGAGCACGGGAACTCCGGGGTCCGAGCGCAGTTACCTGAAGCCGCCGAGGACCAGCGGCTCGGGGTGTGTTCGCCATGAGGCACCGCAGTCCTCCAGGTGGCAGCACGAGCGTGCACTCCCGGCGCCTTCACCTTTAGTCCGTATCATCAAGCCCTGCCCACCGCGGCCTGAGCACCAGCCTCTGAGACCCAGTCGTGTCCAGGCTGCCAGAGCAGGCGTTTAGTGATTTTAAAAAGAAGATCAAACCACCATCAAAATAAAGAGGCAAAGAAAACGGATTTTCAAATCATTTGAAAGCATAGTGCATATTTGCCCAATACAGACCCAAACTCAGAGCAAATGCTAGAATTATAATCTCCAAACTTCTGCCATCAAATTAACATTTATACACACATGGGTTTTGCTTATCAAACTGTATTTTGCCATCAATGAGCGGAAGTCACTCCTGAGAGCACGATGTATTTGGTCACAGCCCCACGTCCCAGGAGACAACCCAAGGAATACAGTGCGGGTAAGTCATGAGACCCCGATCTTAAAAACCCTGCCCATGTGAGATTCCCTTCAAGAGGAATTGTGCTGTGGAGTAATGATGTCGCTAACTGCCCTCTTCCTTAACCAGCGCGGCTCACCAGCATGTCACGCTGGCCTCGCTTCTGCTCCACGCTGATGCACAGGCTCCCGCGGCCGCGTCTGTCTCCCTTCCTACACGCAGCAGGTGCCGCCACCTCAGTGACAGTCGCATCTCTGAACGCACCCACACGTTACTGAGCTCAGCAAGGACGAAAAACATGGAGATCCGGGCGCTTCCAGCCAGAATCTTTGTGCTTTTTTAAGTGAAGCTGCTTGGGAATCTTTTTGGTATGCGTCAGCCTTTGTATTTTCTTTAAAAGAATATATTTACGGTAATTTTTAATGTTAAATGTCCTGGGGCTTATCAGTACTTAAAAATAACAATTCTTCTTGCTTTCAGCATCTGGAATAGAATTACTTCTGGTCCCTCCTCAGATCAACGCTATCTGCATCACGTGTAACACTGAACTTACAGACATCCCTGAAAAGTGGTCGATTAAGTAAACGAGTGAGTGAATCACAGTGGAGTCTCGATCGGTTAACAGTGTGGATCCATTAAAAAAAATCACACTGAACAGGAAAAGAAATCTTCAAGCTAAAAAGGAAAGAAAGAAACCCTCCTAGGCAGAGCCGAGCGTGTCCTCACCGAATCTGTGCTTGTCCCGCGGGCCGGCCCCTGCCTCCGTGGTGAGCGGGGCGCGTGTGCCCCACACACAGGCCTCCAGGACGCGGGAGGGAGGCCACACGGAGCACCTAAGGGAGCAGAGTGCCCATCGCCTCCCCAAAGGACCGCAAGTCCCGGAGGAGCACAGCCCCTCTGCCGCGCTCACACGTCGGCCGGTACCAGCTGACCCTCCCGCCCGCCCGTCCGCCCGCCCAGCGCCACGTGCAGTCACCAGCAGCCCATCCCTGGACCCACTGGCCTTTCGCTCTTTCGATCAAAAAGTCCTGTTACTTTATAAAGGGGGCGGGGAAATGAAAACCCGAGTCTAAAGGCACGAAGTCGCACAGCTGCTCTCGTCGGAGTTTGTAAACAGAGAACAGGCTGAATTTCGGGGACCCCAGTCTGTGGGCGGGAAAGGCATGGGCAGGCTGGCCCGGGCTCCCCGAGACCCCGCGGGGCTCTGAGGTCTGCCAAGTCTGCACGGAAGACCCATCCTCCAGAAAACAATAAGGCAAAGAGTATAATCGTATCCCCACGACATGGTAGTGTAGGCGTACATAGTGTAACAGCTACGATGCGGCACCGCCCGGCGCCAGCACACAGCCGGCCCGGCTGCAGGCACAGAGCGGCCTGTGCCCGCGGAGCAGCGGCAGCGCTGAGCATCTGTGCTCCGCTGCGGAGATCACCCTTGGACTGGAGCGCCCCGTGCGCGCCCGGCACTAGACGCTGTCGTACTTGTGAAGAGCCTCCTCCAGCTTCTGCGTCACTTTCTGGAAAAATATGATCTGCTGCTGCAGGAAGTGCTGCATCTGGGACTTGAAGTCGCGCACGCGGACCTGGTGGAAGTGGTGGATCTCGGCCAGCGTGGCGAAGGAGATGGTGTTGCAGCGGGCCTGGATGCCCTCGGCCTTCTGCGCCTCCATCTTCCCCTCCTCCACGTGCCGCCGGCTCTCCTTCACCTTGGTCAGAGCGCCTGCAGGGAGAAGGTGCGTTAAGACACATGCATGGGCCCCAGGACCAGATGGGCAAAGGTGGGTTACAGTTGTTTGTATAGAAAATAATACAATAATTAATACAAGAATAAACTCTGTTTCGCCGACTCACCCCTGTAA